TGAGCGACCAATCTCACCCACCCTTTACCCTCTTTCAGCTCCTTCCCTCTGGAAGAAGGCAAAGATCAAATCAGATCAGAGAACAGAGCGGTTCTGGAAGAGTCAACACAATTATAAAAGTATTTAATATTGTATTTATTGGTAAATGTGTGTATTCTGTCTTCACTGTAATGTAGCACTCGGTAGTATGCTGGATAAGTTAACGATTTTTCATTCTTTTCTTGTATCTTTGCTTTGGTCAAGCACACCACAAAAAATTCCTAACATCTCAAAGGGCTGGTTTGGCAATAAAGTTGACTCTGATTTGGATATAAACTGACAGCGATACCGTGTGAAAAGCAGCACAGCTCATTCACTTTCTACGGGAATCAGAAATGCATGAATATGAAGAATTCTGTGGTTGATTAAATTACACAATGGAATAACCAGCACTGTATTTTAGGTTGAATCTGGATACAAACTTGGTGGTAGACAGTTTATTAAAGATAATTGAATGACACCAGCATTTTTTTAGCTGCTTTACAACCTCTTCAATCAGATAACTGGTGCTTTTAAGGCCTAAAAGTTCAAACAATTTACACTTTAGAAACATTATCCCCCAAATTGTTGCTACAATACTTTCTTTAGCACTCATTTGTTTCTAATTAATGGAGGCGGTTCTTCTTCTCAACCGTTTACACTATTGTTTATAAAAAAATCACTATAGTAATTGAAACCAAACCAGATCTTTCACAATTTACTATTTAAATAACTTGGTGAAGTCTAGGGCAGTATTTTAACCCTTTATGGTATCGTTAAGACACTTCAGTTGTCATAATATTCCAAATTCCCTCCATAAAATGGTATTGGAAACTTGGATTCACATTAACTAATCAAATGCGTTTTCCCAGCAAGATATCTTCCTAGCCTGTTTGGAGAGATCAATAAAACTGAATTATTTTTTCAATTACAGAACAATGAAAACGTAGTATTTTAATTGTTTCACGAGACCTGAAAGTAATGCCTTAGAAGAGTGACAGCCAGTGGGGTTTTCATAACGGGGATGAGAAGTAACTAGAACATCGGCAGGGACTGCGTTAGAATGGGCTTTTAAGTAATGAAGATGGGCTCCGTACACTTTTAAAACAAAAAATAAATAAATTGAAAGCTGAGAAAGGACTTAGAACCATTTCTTCTGCCAGGGTCACAGTGCTTTGAGGCAACATCTACTTTGTTAGATTGTGTGCTCAGTGAGAGCAAAGTGAAGCAAGACAGGAGGTGAATCTCACCTTCGAAAGAGTCCAGCAGACAGTGGAGCACAGGCTTGACACTACTTTATCAGCATATCCCCATGTTGCTGGAGCTCAAGTAGCCATCTGCCCATCGACAGCCAGCAGGCTTCAGGTCTGTCTTCCTTGCTTCTCCACCAGATGAGGGTGTCCTGCTCAGGCAGTTTGTTGCTGCCAAGCAGCCACATTTGGAGAAGCCGGAAAGGAATTTCCAGCGACACTGGAATCTGAGGACATCAAAGACGTTAAGACCGAAAAGCTCTTTGGACTGCGCTTCTCCATGAACCTGTAGAGAAGATAAACTGATTTTACCTAGTCTTAGACTTCCGAGGTTGTAGATACTTTACTTCACAACTTAAGCTCCAATTGGATTTTCCAGAGTAAACTCTCAAGCCTGCCGACTTCGAAACGACAACGAACTTGGTAAAAGGAGGTTTTGCTGAACCATCAGTGGAACACACTAGAATACTGGAACTGGGCTGGTACATCAATGTGGAAGTACAAAGGCCATAGAGCACAAATCACACCAGCTAACCAGTTAATAACTAAATGTCCAACATTGATGACTGAAGGAACTGAATCATTTTAGTCTATAACAGAGAAGAGTACGAGGGGAACGGATACAGCCATCCAAACCCTGAAAGGCATTGCCAAAGTCAACCCCAGCGTATTGCTTCCGAATTGGCAGTGAAACATGAACCAGAGATTGCAGGTACGCAATGTACGCAAACTATGTGGACATACATTCAAACCCAAGAAGAGGAGGCACTTTTTTACTCAAGAGGTTCTGGGAGTACTGAACAAACTATACAGACAAACTGCTGAAGTATACAGCCTGGCTCCTTTCACGAAATGACTGGATGAGATCCTGGACTCCCAATTCCATTAACTACTACCAAATGGGCCAGATGGGTCGAATGGCCTCCTCTTTTTTTTGTAAAGCAATTTGTAACTGTTCTTGTTAGAAACAGTAAGAGTGGAAGCAGAAATAGGGACTACTGAGAGGTTTTACTAAAAGCTTATTCAGAGCACAGGGTGAGACCTATACTAATAATATTATGTAAAAGCCAATTACAAGTCCATGACAGGGATTTCTTGTGGTGCTGCAAGACTCTCTAAAACACTTGGAGCAGGGAGAGAGCAAACTCTGGAAAAAAAGGGCTCACAGTCATAACCCAAGTGCTGTTTCAAGTGTGATTCAGAAATTCAGATTTAATACACAGTGACTTCAACGGACTGGCTAAAAAGAAAATACGTCTGAAATATGTTTCCTAAGGTTAACTGCTTTTTTTCAATACAGGGTCGTGGAGCAGCCAGAGCCTATCCCAGCATGCAACATGAGCAAGACAGGATATACCCTTAATGGAATGCCAGTCCACTGCAGGGCACTACAGTATGTGGAATCTTTATCTTCACATTTCTTGCACTCAGAAGGAAAGACAGGAGCCATCCATATAAACAATCCAACGCAAACAGAAAGGCAATGAAAAGGTTCTGAACTCTGAAAACCTCTCAATATTTCAGTATTTTGTATTTCACTGTGCTTGCTAGAGGACATGAACAAGCCCCACCAGCAAAAATAACTGGAGAATCACATCAACATTCTCATATAGCTTTAACTCGCAAATATAGCATTCTTACCGACCAACCATTGTTTCAAAAGCGGATCTTATTTTTCAAGTTTGTGCTCATGCATAAAACAGCGTTTTGTCCTAAACACTTAACAATAATCCTGTGCATTTCTATAGCATTATTACATAAAGGAAAGGACCCACTTGACTGAGAGCACCCACCTGGGTAACACACAGCAGCCACTCTGTGCCAGCAGTCCCACCACACAGCAGATCAGCTGAAGTTCGACCAGTTGAATTAACTCAGTTAAAGTTAAAACAATTAAAACCAAAAAAATAAAACCATCTTTATTTAGGCCAGACTGTTTGCCTCCCAGTCAAAAAAAAACTATTTAATCTTCTCTGCAGAACTATTTAAAAAATGAAAGCCTAGACATGAGGGATATAAAAAAAATCAAACGACTCTAAAAATGTCTTATAGAAAAATTCAGAGCACAACCACAAAATGAAAAAAGGCCAAACAAAAGCATTGACTCAAATCTGACCCCACAGCTCTAAGCCTCATAGAAGAGGTTCTGTATACAAGTCCCATTGTAGCAATCTGCTCTTTGCACAGCAGATATACTGTAGCACAAGCAGTCAATCCTCAGATCTGCCTCACTATTTAGAGAGCATACAGTTTCTGCAATCATCTCTGTTACCCCTTGGGCTGTAGAAATAGTGCTACAATGCCTCTGAGGGTACACAGAATGCACTATTCCTTTGGGTGCCAAAACCCTGTTAAGGAAACAAAAAAAAAAAAGCTGTCGCATTGTGTTCAGAATGAAAAACTGACCTTAACAGTCACCTTAAAAGCCTCTCAAACGTCCAAGCCCACCTAGAAAAGCTGTGGAAAAGAACAATGAAAATGATTTTACAGCTTTTCTCTGTCACATATCTAGTGGCTTAAACTTTGAGATATCTGCAAAGTTTGCAAGTCATGCCTAAGAAGCCACTCGTTATTCACAAATATCTCCTGACTCAATTACAAGACTTTGCACCAAAAAAAAAGAAAAAGCCCACTTTGATGTGGCATCCACATCGCACAGGGCAAAACCAATTTGATACATCTGATACTGCTTTTCTGCAATTACACCACAACCAAAGAGCTGTCGAGTCAGGGGAGGGAGTTCAAATTACTACCTAGTTCTATAACATTTTCAGCAAGTGTCAAATTCATCAACCGTGTCCAAAAATCACTGGCTTCGTCTCTTCCCATCCTGCAATACTGTAAGCCCCGAACCTCCCTCCCCAAGTGCTCTATACCTGGATGCATAATAGTGTGACTTTTGGCAAGCATTCTTAAATCAAACTCAACACTGCAGTCAGGAGAGCTTTTCTACTTTATTACAAAGAGAAGAAGCTTTAACGTGGTCAGAAAATACAAGATTGATCTGTTTATTTTTTTATTTGTTTTTTTTTTCCTATGAAATGCTGCTGTGCAAACAGCCAGAGTGAAATGCCTCAGTTCTCTTCCTCGAATCCCGTTGTGTTCAGTTGGGTATGGATGTCCTTGGTTGCTGAAAATCTGGCCCGTTTTGTTTTAAGTGCACAGGGCGACACCATGGTCCCCAGACCAGCAGTTCCAGAATGTCCTGTTTCCATGTATTGCATCCATGCACACCTCCTAAAAATGAGGTACAGCAGGGCAAGTATTTTCCAAAATAGATGTCATATATATATAATATATACACATTCGTACATACATATCTTTATTCATGTGATGTCCAAAAATTAAAAAAATGTACACGTTTATTACAAAATCGTAACAAAGACTGGACAGTGTTTTGCTCATTCTGGAACGATGAAGCTCAGTAATGCACAACCCTGGAGAGCTGTCCAGACGTTGCAGCAATAACGTTCACTCAAACAGTCTCGTATTAAGCTAGGCAGAAATCGCCCTTCAAGAAAGGTGTGGGAACGGGTTGGGGCAGGGAGAGGGATTTGCAAAGGAGGGTAAGGGAAGAGGTGGAGGAAAAAAAAATAACGAAAAAAAAGTGTACAGGCTGCTTATCTTTCCAAACAAAATACGAGAAGTATCTTCACATAAAAAATGCACAAACAATTTTTGTGTTTTTTATTACCAATAGTGCTACAATGAACATTGCATTTTTTTCTGGTCTTTGTTGTTATTTTGTTGGGTTTTTTTTTTAACACTTTGGAAAATTAAGCATAAACCTTTTTTTTTATTTTGTCAGTGTTCCTGCCTTTGAACAAACGGGCATTTGAAAAGAGGCGTAAACAAAATTCAGACCCTGCTCAAACTAAAAAAAAAAACGGAATAAAAATAAAAGAAGAAGCTTAGGTGTTGGGCAGCACATAATCAATAAGGCAGGACCCTCGAAATGGTGAACCCTCTGCCTAAGTCAATTGCCAGATCCTCAAGGAATAAAAACCAGGATGCCTGAGCCACATCAGTTTCTGCAGTTTCAGTGAGTAATGTGCTGAGACAGCCATACCCCATGAACAGGGAAGTCTTTTAGAAGGCTTGCTGAGCTGGGTTATAGTTGAAAGTCGATGGCACATGAGGCCTTTCTTCTAGTTTGTCATATTCCAGGTGAAACTCCTGAAAGCAAACACACACAACACAAACTGTTTAGTCGTCTTTCCAGGTGACAAAGGTATCTGTAAAAAAAGAAGTGGAGTTTTATTTTACCACACATTTTGGGTATTAGAGAATGCTACACTTATCCTCTCGCCGCCGGCCCTCTCTAGGTGACGAGCCTGTTCCCCCCAGTGAGCCTGCAATCTTACTGTCCTGCTTTGACTTCTCTTTTTGACTTGCTGATGTATTTTTAAGGGATAAAGTACAATAGCTACATTGGAAGAGTCTCCTAAGAGTTTTAAATCTAGAGGCAAAAGACCCTTGCTTTTCCTGAGACATGCGAAGAACCACGCAGCTGTTGTCCGAATGCTTATAAGGTACAGGCTATGATAAGAAAAGCAAGAGAAATTGACACCTTGTTTACGTGACCAGAAGAGAATGAACTGGCTCAGTTAGGGGAAAGCAGGACTTGCATAACTAAGCCCAACATGCAGAAAAAGAAATACTCAGGGAATAAGGAAGGGGCTCAAATGCTCACTTTGACAACAACGAATGAAAACGAGCCATACGTTGTATTTAAAAACTAACATCTCATAACTCTTCATATCAGATTATAGGTTGTGTACGTACTATTGAATTCTGTAGCATCTGCCATTGTTAACTGTACCTTATCTGGCTATTAACACTGTAAAGAGAAGAATAAAAAGCTTCTAGTACAGAACTTTTGTAACAAAATTAAAAAATGCTCCATATATGAATAATAATTAAGAAAAGATAAAGAGATTACTTGCTCACACTTCATCCAACAAAATGCATCACTTGATTCATTACCAGCCTTACTATTTTTGCTGCAGCTAGAAATTGTAGAAGAAGGAATTAAAAGGGCCTCACTCTGAAACATGGGAAGAAATCGATTGAGATTACATTGATGTCTGAAATGTGACACCAAAAATCATACAAGGGCCTGACAGCTCTACAGCAGAGCCTCAGACATATTCCAAACACTGTGAAACAAGGAGAAGACTTAAGTGCCTGGGCTTTCTGATGAAGCCGATTAGGAAGGTTGCTAATCTGCAACAAGCTGCTGTTTCACATGCTTTCTTCCAAAGTGTTGAAATATTAATGGCATTTTCTTTGATCTTTTAACAGTTTGCTGCATTTTAACGACACTCTCCAGGTGAAAAGACAGCTCAGTCTGTCAATGCTGAAAGCCTGCTCCATTTTTTTACCTCAATGTCCAAATAGTCACTTTAAGGATTAAAACAACTCCACTCGGGTCACACGCGAGATCTTAACGGAGCAGAATAAGGTGCAGAAACAGTGAACGAGAAATGGATATGAAGCAAATGTTTCAGAACAGGGTGGCACGGTGGTGCAGCGATTACCACTGGTGCCACGTAGTGCTGGGACCATGGGTTCAATTTCAGACCTTGGGTGATATCTGTGCGGAGTTTGTATGTTCGCCTCATGTTCATGTGGGTTTCCTTCAGGTGCTCTGGTTTCCTCCCACAGTCCAAAGACACACTGGTAGGGTTAAACTAGAGGAAACTCAGCCCTGAAGTGAGTGTGTGTCCGTGTTTGTATCTGTGTGTGCCCTATGATGGCCAGCCATTCTGTCCAGTGTCTAGCCTGTCTTGTGCCTACTGCTTGCTGGGACAGTCTACGGCTCCCACAGCCCTGTATCAGATGAAGCAGATACAAAATGGATGGATATTTCGGAACATGTTCCAGTACATTAAGAAAATCAAAAAATACTGAGCTTTCTCCAACCAATGTGAAACCCGAAGCATCACCTGACCTACACAGGCCACAAAAGTTATTCAACAGATGTGTGAAACAGGAAAAGTGTCTAGAACTTGAAAATGTAAATTTACTTAAATATATAGAAATATAAAGGACATGAAGTTACTAATTAATTTCCCGGTTTTACAGCATAGTCTGCACCTTGGGTGAGAACTCAGGAAAGAAAAGCTTTACAAAATTCATTATAGTAACAAAACTCACGACTACAGTTTAAATATAAAGAATCCTTCCAAAACTGTACACAATTCTAATGTCAGCAAAATACTATGCTCCGTATCACTCCAAAACCTGTAGCAGGAATGTTAACTTCTTCCAGGATGTCCATGGATTTTAAAACCTCAGCAGAGAGGTTCACAGCTCTGCAATAACCCATTTATTTTAACTTTTGATTGATAATTCCAGAGCATTAAAGGAACATATAGAAGGAGGCTCTGCAAACCTGACAGCATCATGCAGTTAGGTAAAATGGATGTACAGTAAAAACGAAATAATGAGTAAATGAGGGACACCATATATACTGAAAGCAAAGGCATCCACATAGGTGTTGCTCATGCGTTCATAAGAAAAATAACAGCCTAGCTTAGATGTCTATAATTCTGGCTACAACAAGAAAGCTCAGTGACTTTGAAGAGGGGCGATTGTTGGAGTGAGCTGGACAGAAGCTTCAGTGGCCAAGACTGCTCAACTTGCTGATGTTTCACGAGCAGCAATTTCTAAGGCCACGTCAGCATGGACCTCCCATACAAAGACATCACCAGCAAAGTGCAATAGTGTGTAGAAGCACATCCTCCAAGACTGCGATATTTATGCATTAATTCAAAGTGTAAGACAAAACAAACGAGCAACTGCAGAATAGCTGACTGCATATTTCAACCTGGGACACAAGCAGTCAGTTTCAACATAAACACCAAGACCTCCACAGAATGAGAGCTTACAGTTGAACAGCAGTGCATAAACAGCTCATCACACCTGGCAATGCACTACTACAGTGGAGAAGTGAGAGATGGTCAGATGAATCATTCTTCACCATGTTTTTTGCTAAATGGATCAGTACAAGTGTGGCACCAACCTGAAGAACTGTGCTATCCAGTGCTTGGTTCTAAAAGCAAAGGGTTCTGCAATTCTGAAGAGCACATTGTCCCAGTACGGTTTATGTGCTCTCATACCTTCAAATGGCAAGATCAATGTTACTCACTGCTTAATGACATGGAGTGATCATCTCCACTCCATGTTATAGCTTTTCTTTCCTGCCTGGAGGGTTGTCTTCCAGGATGACAATGTGCAGGTGGTCGCCCTGTGGTTTGATGGGCATGACACTGATTCTAGCTATACAGTACGTCATTCTCAGTCCGCACATCAGAACCCAATCAAGCACTTATGGGACATTCTGGAACGATGCCTGTTAGTGTTTTGGACCTCCATTAACCAGGCGTGAGTTTATCAACTTCCTCATAAAACAATGGTGCTGCATCCCTCCTGGAAGATTCCAGTAACTGGTAGACTCTCATAGTGGCACATACAGGCAATTCTACCATACACGGTGAACCAAAGCCCTATTAAGTGACTTAAAAATGGTTTCTCTATTTTTTTATCCGCCCCCTGTAGGTTAGTCATGTATTCCTAGAAAAAGGCCTAAGAAAAATATGCATTAGAATGTCAAATATTGTATACAGATATGAAACAATGTGATGATGGCATGGTAATGAGGGATCAGAAAAGACGTGAATGTAAACACACATTGGCTAACAAACTTCAAACACAGGCAGAGGAGTATGATAAATAAAGACACGTTCTACACTAAAAAGTTGAAAAAAGTAAGAATGGCGTTTTGGCTGGTAAGCCTTCTCTCGAATGCTGCAGATGTTTTTCTTTTTCTACGTTATAAGTGCAGAATGAACCTTTACTTGCTGCTTTGCATGTGAATGTATTGATGTACCTCTCCAGGTATGTAATAAGACAAGCACGGCTAACGGTCACGCTAAACAAACATGCTAGGTGGCACATCGGACACACACATAACACACCTCTACTACAGGCTGGTCCACAGCTAAAGACTTACAGGGTTAGTGCAGCGCACAATCAGAAAAAAAGATGACCTAGTGTCTCCCATTGAAATGTTAGTATATAAAGGTAGTGGATACTCAAACCAATACCTTTACCTTAGCTACCTTCCTCCAGTTAAGACAGTCAAAGAAGTAGTATGTCCCCCTCTCATAAGTGTTGGTCTTTATTGTTGGCTCCATTCCCGGCGCCCTTGTGATCCACACTCTCTCTTCTTTGTGGTACCTCCAGTCTCGGTTGAATCTTAAAAAAAGGCAACAAAACAAAAGCTACTAAATGAAAGGTAACCGAGGCAAAAGTTTTCAGTACGGCTGCTCTCTGATTTCCTATTTCTTAAACATGGTGCGAAAACCCCTCCAAGACACCTGGGGACAAGAGAATGCTATAAGTTTGTGCTGCATAAAACTCTCAAATAAACGCTCCAAAAACCTGGGTGAGTATGACTAGCCAGGCTGCCACCTAATTTAAATCCTTTTTTGGTCTCTACACTTAAGTCTTAAACTTAAGTTTAAATCTTATACAAGTCATTTTTGCTTTTTTAAATAACAATCGATGGTTTTCCAAATCCAATGAAAGCAGTGATTTGGATCAAGATAACATTTTTGCTAACATTTTGGTATTGTACCTGGAATAAAATTCTAGAATAAAATTGATTTTTTGAGTTCAGGTGGTCCACTTCCAGGTTATTCATAGGTTGTCATCCACCACTTGGCAGAGCAACGGGAAGGTACAGGGAGCAATTAGAGATTGAGTTAGAATTTGATCTCAGTGTCACATTATGAATCTGCATGCATATCTTCAAACTCCGGTCTGTCCTATCATGGCAGTGCTCCTAAGTCTCCCAATGTTTTAGTTCAAAATCAATGGCTTTATTCATCAGTCTGTAAATGGTACAAAAAGATAGCAACTACCTGAAATCATCAGTCTTTGATTCATAATAAAGAAAAGGTTTAAGAAACACTATAATCCCCTATATGAAGGGATTTCAATAAACGTCACAGAGTGCCTTGTAAAAGTACGCTCACCTTATCAGTTTTCACATTTTGTTGCTTTACAGCTTGTAACGATGCTGCTTTGTTATATGCACAAACTATCCCACACATTCAAAAAATAAAAGCAAAAACAAATGATTAAATAGATAACTGGTTTCTAAGAAAAATGGAAATGTCAAGATTGCAAAAATATTCAATCTCCTTGCTGTGAAAAACCCTAAATGCACAAAATTACCTTAAAAACCATGAAATAAGATAAGTGGCCTCCACATGCAATAATATCATGTAACCAGCCCTCTAAGTGGGGTAAAGAATTTCAAGGAGGGATTTAGCCATTAAGACCAAGGAGCTTTCAAAACAGTTATAGAGATAAATTGTAGAAAAGCACAGATCAGGAGAAAGGTATAAAAACGCTGCATATTCCTTTGAACACCGTGAAGAAACAGAATGCATCACACCACCAAGACACTGCCAAGATCTGGCTGTGACACCTGACTGGAAGGAGCTACTAAGTGCAGAGAGAGAGAAAATGTCAATCACTCAGTCAACCCCAATCAATGCTGTCAAGCATGGTGGGGGCAGCTTTATGTTCTAGACCTGCTGCCCATCAGCAGGAACTGGGAAACTTGTCAAGACTAATGGGAACTTTGATGGAGCAAAGTACTGGCAGATTTCAGCAGGACAATGACCCAAAGCACAAGGCTAAAGCTACACTGGAAGGGCTTAACAAGCACTCAGGAGAAAGTAAAAGTCTTAGGGCAGCCCAGTCAAAGTCCTGACTTGAATCCTATTGAGAACATTTAGAAAGGCTCCTCAATGCAACATGGGAGAGTTTAAGCAAATCTGCCAAGAATGGGCACAAAATACACAAAGCCACTGTGCAGCAGGTAGAGACCAAAAAGACCTGTAGTTATAATTGGTGCCAAAGGTGCTTCCACCTTATATTCACTTGTGTAAATGTTTATGCAATCAATGCTTTTCTTTTTTTGGGTGGACATATTTACTGTCATTTTCTTCAGCTTAAACAGTCAGAGTTTGAATGAAATATTGTTTAAAACACAAATGCAAAATTTTGTAATTTCTCAAAATGGGATACCACTAAAAAGGTCTGAAAACTTCTTGGAGGCACAGTAAAAATGTAATGCTTATCCGAGCAGAATCAAGTTAATTCTTGATTTGAATCAACGTGTAATAATATTTGGAAGCTTGCACTTTGTAGAAATAATCTGCATTTCAAGACATAGGTCTAAATGAGAGAGGAGTACGAATAGTAAGTAAACAGTTTAAGACAAACGCTTCAGAAAATGTACCAATAAATCACTGCTAAAGTCTTTTTATTAAAAAAATACTCGTATTAAGGTGTAAGTCTTATACTGTATTTATTTGATCATGCATAAGCCAACTCGTCCATGTCAATGCATTGTTTCGAATAATGGAAAAAAAGGTCAATAAAGGCTAAAAGCCAACACATTCTCCAAAGCACTGTAGATCCCCACAGTGACTGAAGGGGAAATCATTAAACCAACACGCACACATTAATACACAACGTGGTGCTTATATCATCAATAAAATATAACTGCATCAGCACCCAGCCTCACAATCCAAACAAAGGTCAAACAACACAAAGTTAGCATGTTCAGACTGGGAATTCTGAAACTTCAAAGGAGAATCAAAACCATGAACATTTCACATTTATGCAAGAAACAGCGTTCAGAATACTTCATGCTTACAATATTTACATTATGCTTTCATTTTTTTAAAGTTAAAATAACCCTATCATCAAACTATGTAGACAACTTAGCCATACTTATTCTCTTATTCTTTTGCCCTCTTTTTAACAGTACCCCCTGGATTAGTTTGTACCACCAATGCAAGAGGAAAATGTTTTTAGAAAAGCAAAAATTACGGATGTGATAAAATGTGGCCTGGTGAAAAAAAAATGTCATACTGCTATATAAATAGAACAGAACAAAGGTATATTTGTAATAAAGTCCAGAAAAAAAAAATCTTAATAATGGACACTAGACTGAAAAGTGGTAGATTCAACTTTTTGAGAATTCCTTGATAGCCATCTCCCAACATCAGGTTAATGAATATTGACCTGCAGTTTTCAAATAGCTCTCGCACTTTAACCATGGTGGTACATGGTATAACAAAGTTTTATATGTCTTACCTCCTAATACAGCCCCAGGGACACAGAAAGCACTCGAAGGCTTCCAAAGATCAAAATGTTTTTGTTGGATTTTATTTAAAGGAATACTTAGTGATGAGAAAAAAAGGTGACCCTTGTGTTTTCTGGAATTCAATTATTTCTGATAACCAAGTTTCTCTGTGCAATGGTATTACGTTAAAACATTTTTAGAATTGTTTTATACAAGGCACATCAGAAACTCATTCTGTTATATGGTGTTATTGTTCCTATTCCACTGGAGTACGAATACATCTTTAGGGCACTCTATACAGTTAATTGAAATAAACCTTAACAGCTTTCAACAACTGTGTAATTACATACTACACTGTATTCAAGTAATTTCCTTTTCCCATTGTCAACATCTTAAAAGCCAACTGACTGCAGGTCTCCAGGTATCTGCAGGGCACACAGGGCTTGTGCACTTGACTGGGTATCAGTAAAGTGCACAGCAATGAGCTTGAAAAGTTGCTGTATGCGGTGACCTTCCATGCACACCTTATTCAATGTGCCAAGACATTGGCGACTCAAGAGTGTGGTTTAGAAATGACACAGGACACGTGCGCCCTATTTTAAGTGCCACTCAACTCCAGGCACCACTGGGGCAAGCCAGCAATGATGCTTTTTTCCATTTATTTTTCTCGAGCTGTCAAATAAAGCATTGGATCAAGGCATGATTTAATTACAAAAACTCAGAATGCAGGATTGCATACAAATCACATCCCCAAACTTCTCAGAGATGTGACATACCTCAGGCTTTTTCACCTGGTGTGTTTCTTAGATCTGTACCAAACTGAAATCTGCATAAAATTTACAAACTCAATATACTTTTATTTTTTAAGACACACCTAGGTTGTTCATTATGTTTGAAAAGTGTTTAAAGCAATGTTTACTTGATTTGATTTAAAACACCACTACTCTGGAGGGTTAATGGTTTAATGGTTAAAGGTTCTACTGGGTGAACCGACTACCAGCAAGTCAGGTGTTTTAACAGGACTGTATAGCTGAAGCTGAACAGCTCTTGGCACTGACCAGAAACTACAGGTGGAGTTGAGGCGAAATCATTTTATTGGAAATGGGATATCAGAGACCAGCAAAACCATCTTGCAGCCACAAACAGGAGCCACAGGAGATATTCTGAAACAGTTTACCCTCTTTAAGGGAAAGAAAGAGCGCAAATCGGAGCACAACATTGTATGGAAAAACTGTCCGTAGATAAACTTTAATACATACAGCTCAACTGCTGCTAGAAGCTGTAAGAGGTCTCCTCCGTTCATGTAGTACAAGTAAAAAAGCAGGTCTTCTCCATACCGCGAAAGTTTTATTGCAGCCAGCTGTGCAGATGAGAGGCAACAAGAATGTTAAAACAGTGGTGCACTCATGTTAAAATGTTTACATTGCTTTTGATATGATCAAAACCCATCAATGCATTAATACCACAGAAAGACAAACTTTAATTATAAGTTTACAACAAGTTTTAAATGGCCGTGCTTGCAAGTAGGAAAAAAATATATCTTACTGATTTAAAACGGTACCTGTTCTGCATCCTTATGTTAAACACAACAGATAAAACATAAAAGGGATATACATTTTATACTAGTGAAAATATGTATTAAAAAAGACAAAGAATAATAAAACAGAAATAAAAAACACCACCTGTAGCATTAAATACTTATACTTTAAAGTGTTGGAAGCAGACTATCAACACCTTCTGATTGAAGGTAAGTGAAAAACTGATTCTAAAACACTGAGCACATTGCAATTTATTAGAATTATTTGTTAAAGAGCCAGTAAGTTTTTCAAAAGATGCTTGTTGCACCACTAAGCTAAACCATTGTTCATGTGATGCATTTTTCCTTTTCTTCCAGTTTAGAATTACTTTCTGTGCAAAAATGTTGTTTTCTAATGTGCAATAAAAGAGGAGAGGTCAATAGCAAAACACAAGGAAGTGGAAACTGTAACAATACAGCCCAGGATGTCAGTATTTGCAACATTTAGAACTAAAATTGTGAATTTAATGCACAGTCCCAAAATGAATGCTTATGGTAGCATTTTGTGAGCATTGTAAATGTCTGTTTTCGAAAGCCTCTTAATGAATAGGCTTTCTCATGTACAGTATCTTGTATGCTGTCTTGGCTGGACGTGCGCTTGTACGCCACTTTTTAAGAAAAACCTGCCTCACTTCATTATTTCATATCACCAAAACCACAAAACCTTTACAGAAAACCTTTTATCAATCCAAAAGTGTTCAACTAGGGCTTCACAAAACCGTTTTTAGAAATTGTAGAAAAACTATCTTATCTCCAGACCTGGAGGCTATTGAACGTTATTGACTTTGTAGTAAATGTTTGAAGCAGGATTACCAGAAATAAGGCGATCTGATTGGTAAAAAGCGCTGTCATTCATTGTATTTTCAGCCATTCAGAGCCCTTAGGGGGTAAGACTTCCTCTAGAAGCCTCAGGCTGCATTCAGCCTGCCTTTTAGCTATCGATCTTTGACTCAGAAGGGGTAATCAATCATTTTTTATCAGTTTCTTAACAGTGCTCCTTTTTTTCAGTTGCAGTTGCAATGGTTTTTATTATTTTCAATATTTTTAGAATTTTTTATTATATGCGTGAAATTTCATTCCAGGTCCAGTCTTCACAAAACATTATGTAAATTTTTTTCTAATTGATCAATTTGTCACAGATTTTTATCCAAGCTAGTAGTCACCTAGAACAAGGTTTTCAAATCATTCCCAGGACATTTCCAGACCAAGAATTGAAAATTCTGACCTCTGAAGACTAAAACAACATTTCCGCCTGCTGTTTTTTTTTCATGTTTGTCTGCTGAGTGGACACATTAAGAAATAAGAAATTTGACTGTTCACACTCAAAGCCAAGGGGGTTAGCTTCAATTTAAGACAAGACTTGAACCAGGGTCATGCTATGTTCTGCTGCAGAGATATAACAAAATGTTTAAGGGGTGGAAATACCAGGCGGACATTGGCTAAATGGGTCTCTGCCACTGTTGCATAAAATAGTTAATGTTGTGACAAACTCTATTCTGTATGTAAAAGCAAAGACTTAAACGTTTAAGGCATTCAGACAAGAACTACACCCAAAACATTACTTTTATCATGCATTAAACTGTACATGCAAATGTATTGGATAAATAAAAGTAAACATGATCACATCACATCATCCAGATAACTGAAGTGCAGAATCACTATGATTCATATTCAAACTGAAAACCTATGAACCAATTTGCTCAGCTTGGCAGCACTTACCTTATCCCTTATGTGAATGTTCGTTAAATACTCAGATGGAACATGGAAGTCTGAAAGAGAACCAGAAAAGGCAAGTTGTCAACATGAAGCATGGTGGAAATCTGCATTATTCCATGTTGAATCATCAGGTTTCTGTGCCACTCACCAATATCCTGAGGTCGACAAGGTGCTGATGCCCATGGAGATGCAAACTTAGGGTAGAGATTTCTGTAAGAGGTTTAAAAAAAGGTTTTACTCTTTCCTAAGAGTTAAATTCATCTACAATAGAACACATCATAAGATGAGTAAAAGAATGATTCCTGATCCCTGGTTCGAAAGCTTGATCTGATAGTGATCTAAGTGGATTTTGATTTCCCAGTATATTGCAATTTGTTTTTACTAAACTGTAGCAATTTGTTCACCAGCACAAACCTTTGTTCTGCCAAAAATGGGTGAACCAGTGCTGTCTGCTGGAATGTAACAGATTCACCCACAGAACACAGAATATCCAGACCTTTCAGCCATATACACTGGACCCAGTCTCTCTAGAGTAGCAAAGCATTAGAAACTAGGCAGTATCAGTACCCAGGACTTCATTGATGCGCTCATCCTTTGTTGCTCAAGTACCTTCAACTTTGAGACACTCTCTTATTGGACGCAGAGCTCTGGATGTCTTGACTCATACCAGGCCTTAAAAAGTCACTTTAAAAGGGCCAATTACCTAGAAGCACACTTGGCACTTCAAGGGAGACATACCTGCCATCTTTCAATGCTTTCAACTATGAGGCAGCCCCCCTTTGATTTTACTGGCTATCAGATTTCAATTATATTCCTTTCCCAACCATGCTGCTATTCACACACAGCATCTTTCTGTATTTCAGTATAGAAAATTGGCACAAACAGCTCACTACAGATTAAGCTTTTATCTTAACTTTGGAGACAATTTTTTTATACCATGCATCTGAATAAAAACTTTTAGGAAAATTCAGTAAACACAGTAATTTTTGAAATTTCATTAGTGCTTTAGATACTTATATCAACTTGTGAAATTCTATCGAACAAGCAATGCACGTTATTGGTAACAGATGTATTTAAACAGGAAAACAGGGCACTAAGTCCAGGCAATGCCCTGAAGAGGAGGCAGTGCCCTGCACTGGTAGAACATGGGGCAGCGGGGCAAAGCAAAAGCACTCTGCAAAAACAATTTAAATTGGAAAAACTAAACACTTGTAAAATCTGTAAGGTCTTCAAAGGACTGTAGCTCATGCCCTAACAACAACACACCTTCTGCCCACTACTGACAGCAATAACCTTAATACTCAATGCCATCCTTACAGAATGTGATCCAAAGAGTTTTTTATTTCTACGGTCTAGCAACATCATAGTTTTAGAGAAAAGTGAAATATTGATGATTAATATCAAATATTGATTGTCTGATTTCAGAAATACAGCACCGCCTCGAAAAAATCAATACTGGTAAAATGTAACGCTCTTCTGGATTTCTGTTGTATTTGGGGGAAAGTGAACACGGGAGGTTTAGTTATAGTTTATTGCTGCGTCAAAGCAGGCCGAATAAATCTGTTAGGGCAGTATGACCCCACTGTGTGAAAGGACAGATTAAAAAACAGAGCATTAGATGAGAACAAGAGATTAAAATTAATCTTTACACACTGCGTGACAATTACCAGCAGGGTGAGCAAAAACACAGTATAAGATAAATTGTGCCCAGGAGACTGAAAGCTCAATTTTATCTTGATAAGAGCTAAAACCTGCTACCCAACTGTCTAAAAACGATCCTTAATCCTCTATAGAGTCCTTCAGTCCGCATCAGTTAAAAAATGTGGTGTTAAATCCCTGATAGAAAATTGATCCTTTCACACAGTACGCATGCATTTCTTTTCTTAATCCATACAACCCGAGAAGAACAAGAGATTAGAAACCATTTTTTTTTACCAACCAGTTAGTTATTTTGCTTTCAGCTCAGACTCAGTATAGCCAAAATCTGCAATATAATCTTTGATAATTCCTTCTGTACCAATCCTTAATGCTCTGTATTTGAATTACGGTTTCAGAATTTACCATTAAGGTTTATACAGTACTTAGAAAAGAAGCTTTGACTTATCTGTGGCAGTAGTTATCTGGGTCTGAAGGTGGGGGGGGGTGCATTTATAACTTCAATGAACTGTTTCACAAATACCTGCTGCCAGCAAAAAAGCACCAAATTTTATTTTTTTTTACGTTTGCGTGTTGTTCTTCTCACTCGAAGGAAAACAAGATTTTAAGGCAATAAAGCAAAAAAAATCATTGGAAAGTGATCAATTTCAGGGGCTGAGAACCCTAGATCATGGTTCAACACACGGTCTTGAAAACAAATCTGCTGTTGCTTAACATTAGGCATACCTCTGACTTTCTCTGATCTATCAAAGATGGTGTATTTAGGCGATTTTTGATTAAAAGGTTAACGGGCAGTATTCATTCTTAATGTAGCTGATGCTTCTTTTTATTTTGATTAAAAACTTAATCATAATGATCTTTAAACCTAACCCTAAAAATTCCTAATGATCAACCCATGAAAAAGATGAAAACCAATTTCTGTAATGTGGTCAAAGGGTCAGTGGTTGTATTGCAGATCCTCTGATGATACTTACTCTGGAGAGTTGAGATTGAGCCCTAGTGTTGTCAAGTCACTTCCTAACGCAAGGTGTACCATCCCTGGATCCGTCTCTGCTGCCCGGATGAATGTTAACAAACCAATCATCCCAAACTGGTCCGTTACCATTCCTGAAGGAATGTTTGTCACCCGACCTGGAGGGTCAACATATTGGGAGAATTACACTTTTTTTAATCATGTAATACAATTTTTGTATTATCACGTTAGATAACTCTAGTTGACAAACAGCTGAAGATTATGCTGAACTGGTTTCCACAGTCCCTAAAACGCGAACAAATTCCTTAATTTACTTTGCTTCAGAATTCAGCAATCCCCTCTATTAAATTAAACGATAAAGCTCTCTCCTTGAATTAAACAGTGCGAATAACATTTGCCAAGTTTCACTGGCTATAATTAGAGGGAGACACGCTTGACTAAACTAGATGGTCTGGGATAAGTGATTTTTAAAAACTTACTAATTTTTCCCCCTATGCTTTACACCCACGTACACAGCCTGGTGTTTTACTGCAGTGCTTTTAGGTGAGGTACCTTGCTCAAGGGTACAGCAACAGTGTCTTGTCAGTGACTGGAACCTAGAGCCTTCCAATTACAAGTCCAGAACCCTACCTACTGCTCCACACTTCTGCTCTCAAGATCAAAAAGTATTTGGACATCCCAAGGTTGCACATTAAAGATTTTGACAGTGAACAAGAGAAAAGGATGCCACTTTACACACAGAGAGAAGTATTTGGGCAATTCAACATACTGACAAAAGGAAGTTCTCCGAATTACAGGGTGCTACTAATACAGAGATTTAGCGTGGCTCTGAAACCATAAAACAGCACACAAAAAAAACAAAACTAATTTCAAACTTTTTCAGAACTATTTGAGCAAATATTATTACAGTATTTTCTTTGTTACCTGATTACTTCTGTATAGCTTGTGATCTTTTATTCTGAAACCAGTTCAGTTCTTCTTTGGAGATAGTTTAGCCCATTCTCCAACACATAAAGCTTTGATTTCCACAGTTGCTTTTGGTTTCTGATTTTCACTGGTGCCTTTAAATACACCCATAACTTCTCAATGGGACTTAAATTTTGAGTGTGAGTTGGCCATCCCACAAAGTGTAATCTTTCATTTCTGCAACATGCCTTCATTTTTGCATTTTCAGGTTTCACAGAATGCTGGGTATTAGTTCCTTGCTGTGACAAATTTCAGTCCAGCATGTGTTCTAGCAGAGTATATCGAGAGAGCACAATATATTCACATAGTTAGGTGGGTAGCTGCGTCTGCATGCGTAGGCTGTAAACGAACAAGTAACAGTTTTTTTCCTTCTTCGGAAGGCTCCACAGTAGAAACGTTTCGTTTTCTTTCTTCTCTTTTCAGCATGGAATAAACCTATTACTTGTTCCAATATATTCACGGATTCTTCTCCACTGTGTTGGCTGCTGGTGCCCGAGGAAGGAAAAAGCAGTCCATATCCATGAAACAATGTACTCCACTTTTACCACTGGGATGTGTGGATTTTCACCCAAGATACTGTTGGCTTTCTTGGCGACAAAACATTTAAGGGTTAACTCACAAACATTGGTTGAAAAGAAATCAGGCTTCTTCAAACACTGAATGAGAGATGGCAAACTGCCTTCTTTTACATATTGCATTTAAAATCTCCATCTTTAAGTTTCTCTGAATTGCTGGTTTGTGTATTTTCTTCTTTTGCAGTCCTTGTGTCAAGTCTTTCAGAATAACCTAAGGAATTTAAAGGGGACCCAAATGATTTTTCCCCTTCGTTTTGCTTTTTCTTCCACTCCTCCAGCTAGCTGCTATAGTCCTGTTCTCTTTTTTTCTTGTGTTTGTCCATAAATCCCACACTACACTTTTCCTTACATCAACTCATTTTATAATTGTACTGGTTGGTTCTCCTAAGTATCACTAAGTATATCAGGGGGCCGGTGTAGTCTTTAGCCACATTCATTTTTGCGTTTTATTCAGGTAAATCTAATTTGCACGTGATAATTACATATCCCACTTTACCATAATTATTAGGTGATCATCTTCGGTAATGACAATTGTCAATAACCAATCAGTAATGATTGGAGCTTCACACAAAATACTGATTCTCCAAATACTTTTGTTGAAGTATGAAATGTATTTTTCATGATAGATTTCATATTTCAAATAGTGTTTTTATTTTAAAGCAAACATGCATTTTTGAATATTACAACAGCACAATCAGACATTTTTAAAAAAAGTCTTTTACCTCAGATGTTGGACTGATCAAATACTTTTCTCTGTAACTGTATAACAGCAGTCACAAACTGGCCATCTATTTTTAATCTTTTTATTGTGACAGAACAGTTGCCTGTTATCACCTGACATGGTAAAGCAATATGTTCAAAATTTAGACCTGCACTGAAAACTGTGAGACCAAATTACTGCTTGTTAGCAATTGGAACATGCTCGATGTATTTCTGTACTGACAGTCAACCCACCCTTGTACTACATTCAAAACACTGTAGTAACAAACACCAGGAATGATTAAAGGAGAAATAAAGCCAGTGGTCTCTCAATGTGTTTTGGTTGTCCTGACCAGGCGCAAGTCTTGTGGCCAGTCTCTTACCGTCGGGTAACACCTGAATCCCTTTCTTCTGCTGGTTGTTGTTTTGCGCTGTTGAACTTTTGTCTCCAGGGAATTTGGGCCCATCTGTACTAGACGCATTCTTGCTTGACGAGTTTAAATTCTAAAATTGGAGGAAGAAAATAAATTTATATAAACACTAGAAATGATTGTTCATATACAATACCCACCACCTCCATTATTTTGTGGTCCATTTATGCGGGTTTTCAAATCTGTATTGAAAGTCCGCTTTGCTTCTTTGTACACTATATTAACAAAAGGTACTTGTACAGGCGACCCATAACCTTGCTTTTCATTATAATATGGAAATTCAAATGTTATTTCTCTCAATGGTACAAGTGCCTAATGCTCACCAGAACAATGACACTATTGGGTCTATGATGGTCTGACTTGATAGGACTTTCAACAGTTTCTTTCTTCCAAGTGTGAAACGGAGGAGTCTGCCTCCAACACCATGTTGACTGAAGCACCCCCTGCAATCCTCTAACAACCCAGTTCTTACCCTTGTAGCAGCTTTTCAAATGAAGCTTGTACGTCTCCTTGTGAATTATGTTTTGTTCATTATTCATTTTATTTACTAATTTCAAGGTCCTTTTACTCAACTGGCAGCTAATTAATGGATTTCCGGAAAGCACACAAGCACAAATAAGCCATTTTTTTGGAAAACTAAAAAGAACAGGAACAAGCTCACAAATTTCATTCAGTATTTATTGCCTTTCAAACGTATTAATAAGAATACAACAAGGATTCTAATCAGTTAGGATGTGCCATCCGTTTGAAATAAAGACGTGCTTGCTTGCTTTTAAATAAAACTTTTTTGCAGTCTTTGTATTTTAGTGACGGTAAAACACTGGCAGAAAGAAACCAGTTCTGAACAATGACAACCTAAATTAGGAAATCAATTTCAGTACATTTTCATTTTAAAGTACTGCCAAAACCCATCTTATTCAATATTAAGTACTACACAGTGTCAGTTACACAGCTAAAATACAGATCTACCCAGGTCTAACAGATTTCAGAACTTGTCAATAGTGTGGATATCATAATGGATATGGATGGATTGTCTTCTAAAGACACTTGGTTGAACCTGAGCCTATTTAAGTGTGTCATAGCAAAGGAGGTGAATATTTATGCTTTCAGTTATGCTCTATTTTACATTTATAATTCATTAAGGAGAACCTGTAGAATTTTGTATTATAGTGTTTGGTGTTGATGAATGGCAAAAATTCCCAATGAAATACATTATGATTCCATAAAGTAATGCAATAAAATGTGAAAAAGGTCAAGGGGGGTGATTACTATTAATAGCCACTGTGTTTGTCATCTAGGGCTATAATATTGTAGTCTCTTTAGAGTTTTGCTCATTAAGAGACCTAATATGTATTGACACATCATTGAACTATTGTCAATTTCTACTTCCCTTGCCAATTTTAGGAAAACTCAACAGAACTTAATCAATGACCTAGCTTAATAACAGCATATGCATATCTTGTAAAACATTGTACAAGAGGACATAAAAGAATGTAATACCATCTGTGATCTTTTCAACAACTTCCTCACACAAAAAATAGAGTCTTCAAATTTCAACTGCCCATAAATGTTGAATGTATCCGTACTTGCATGTATAAAGATAGTTATCAGTTCATGAGATTTCTGTAGATATAGGAGGTGCAAATACAGTCAGTACTGCATTCTAGGACTATTATTTTTCATATACTTAATATGCACCATAGGAGTGTATACATTCATACTGTTATGAACAAATCACTCTGCTCATTCAAAAGAAGTTTTTTGGTAATCAGGATAGTCATACTGTCTGCCAGTGCTCCACAGATCATTTTAAGTGAAGCTCAACTGTATACACTAACACCAAGATCAAAATGTTCGTATTAAAACTGATTTCTGTGACATATATTATGTTGCTCTTGAGAAAAAGGAGTGACATGAATTAGCTTCCCTTTGTTGGTGAACAGCCCGTTTACTATTAAGCCTTAGTAAAGACTTTCATTTCACATGTTGTGTTCGGTTCTCTACATTTTTCCTCTCCCCTGCAGAGACCTTACATCCATATTTAAAAAACATTACTTTTAACTACTATTATCCCTGCACTGACAAAAATGTCTTCAGCTTTGAGAAAATACTGTTGTTTTGCAGGCTTATAGTAAGGAAATGCCCCTGTCATATCATATAAAAACAGTAATCGCTGCTAATCTTGTTTGTGCTGTAATAGCGATATTGTTTTTGAGAATTCTGCTACAGTTACTGTTTGTCTGAACATTAACCCTGTCAGTTGCATATTTAAATTTAATTCAATGCAGTACTGAATTGCACAGAAATGAACAGATATTGAATGTCTTGTATTTTAGTCAAGAGTGAATCAATCCCATACAATCCAGGAACCATAGAGGATATTACACAAAAGCTGAAGAAAGATTATAGTGAAGGACCACCAATGAGAAAGCTGCGTTTAGTAAAATGCCTTCATTTTCCCCAGCTTTTGAAAAAAATGCATAATGCTGGCTAAAAGCAGGATAATGGACAGCTGTATTTGGGTCACATTAAAAAGGCTTCAGCCATTTTGATGTAGGCTTTGGTGGCCATACATCATACTGCATCAGAAGAAGCTGTATATCAAAGCCTAAAACACAAAATGTAAGGGAAAGGCTATATACCTTTTTGTAAATGTAATGTGTTTACTCTGTTGTGTTGGCAAGCAATAAACAATCCGGACTTCACAGAAATGGGTGTATGCTGGGAGAGCTTGACTGAATTTGGGGAGTAACTCTTGGACCACTTGCAGGTCAGTCACAGGCACCTAGCTGGGAAACACTGGCTGAGTGGGAACATTTTTTAATCTGTCATGTCTTGTTTCTGCTCAAAAGGCCATTGTTGCCTATTAATCCAAGAAGGGCAATTTAGATACTGACTAGATCATTCAGCTCATTTCAGATTTTGACATAAAACTGCAAGCATTACCTGTGTGGTAAAAAGCACAGTATGGTGTAGAATTCTAAAACACAAATTCTGTGCATTGAAGTAAAAACTTGAAGGAAAAGCCAATTGTCGGGGGGTTGAAGGGAAGACAATCAGGACAGCAAGGAGAAGAGAGTAGCACTCACCGATTTACTGTCATCATTACTCGACGTGGGGTCCTTATAGCTGGAGCCAGGCAGTGCAGGGAAATCCTCGTTATGGATGGAGAAATCTTGGGACTGTTCACTCGCAGGTTTTGTTACCATCCCGACTGCATGGTTTAAGAGTAAAAAAAATATATTTAGATAACACAATTTCTTCAGATTTTAAGGTCTGCCTAGAAAGTTTTATATCAAACTTGTTAATTTAGTTGTGAGCTTAAGGAGTATTCGAAAGGACTCGACAGTCATTTACCTGTGAAAGCAAATTTCATTGGAAAAGGGAAAGGGAAGTGGAAAAAATGAAACTGCAGTGGAGATAAAGTAAGAACTGGCTCCTCTAGATAAATGTCTGATCAATGTTGCTTCAGTCACTGATTCTGTGTTCTGATACTGGAGGCCTGTCTTACTGACAAGCAGATTAAAACATTTTGAATCATTCAATATTAAAACCACAAAGACGACCTCAAAGACATAAACCCTGTTGTACCTATACGGCAGAAAAGCACTTCAAGAAATTAAACGTAAGAACTAAATTTAATCTTGTATTTCAGAGTGTAGTGATATGTGTATATCCTCTGTCTTTTGAACACAGTGACTTGGTCACAAAACTGTTCAGTGCATACTGGGAAATGTTCTATGTCTAAAATCAATGTGAGAAATATCTTGCTTACTGTACTTATATATTTTAGTTTCTGAAACTCCTCCATGTTCATACAAGAGCTGTGCATAATCACTTAAAACACAATCCATTTTCTATGGTAATGGCAAAACTAATATTAAGTCCTAATTATCAAAATCAATTTCTCACAAGAAATTAAATGTCTACTGTTTAAAATGTTACGAAAACTCCCAAGTATCCAAGATTAAAAGGGCTCCTCTCTACTTCAGGTTCATTCCACAGAAACCATTACATAATATACTGAATGTCCCTGCTCATCATCAATGCAGACCATTAACACTTAAAATGTACAAAGCCCCAGATTACATTCACTGACTAAATCATGTTTGCTAAATAACCTAAGATAAGATGCAACCTTAATATCTAAACCTTGCTGATTCTGAAAAAAAAAGGATTTAACTATGCATGTTAGGTGAGAAAAAGTGTAATGTTAAGTTTTGTAAAAGCACTTAATGAAGTGCTGACTCTTATTTTTTCCTAGAGAAGCAGAACAGCACAAGCCAGGAAGCAGTGACACAGGCACCTGCTGTGCTTCTGCAGCACATCAGCAGATGTGCTGCCAAACTCTGCCCAACGTACATTTCGGCTTCGGCAGACCACTGCGTTTCTTTTACGCAGGTCAAAGGACATAACTTTTAGATATTGAACACTGTGCACTGTGCTTAAAACAATAATGTAGAGAGAGGAAAAAAACAGGCATTTTGTAATGCTTTTAATCTTGATAGTACCTTTATGTCAAAGTACTTCACAAAAACATCAAAGAATAAAGTATATAATATTTACGTTCATGAAATACCCATGCAAAGCAAAATAATTATAAACTGGTATGGCTTTGGGACATTTTTGTTTGACATTAATATTTTAATTGCACATACAATCATTTTTGTTTGTTAGACAATACACCGCATACACACGGTGAAGTGAAGTCACAAGCAATGTATGAAAAGATGTAAAATATATTAATGATTAATTAATAACTTTTCTATTGATATTAGATTGTCAAGAAATCTTAGCTGAAGAGAGAGAAAGTCAAGAAAATGTGCAAAGATGACTAATAAACCCAGATGCATAGTTCATATCGACCAAAAAAAGGTTAGGTTAAAACCTTAAACACTCCAGCATTCATAAGCACAGTAATCCAGCACTATAGTCTTTTAAAAAATGCATAAAATGAAAAGCTCCCATGTGAAATATAGGAAGCAAGTAAAACCATTTAGTTGAACAGTTAGAAGAAAATAAATTACAGGGTAATCTGGTTAAGGGTGAAACATGAGCCAAAATATCAGAAACCCTGGACAACACAAGCCAGGGTAGCACAGGCAAAGATGTTTTGTTCAGACAAAACCAAATGTGGGGTTTATAAACAACCATCTGATAAACTGTAACATAGTAATATTTTAAAAGGCTGTTGTATCCATAACTCTAGCTTTTCCCAGCTTGGCCTGTGCAATTCTATTTCTCTTGCAACTGCAGTTCCATTTTTTCGCTAGTTTTATTTGAACTCTTTAGACAACTTGTAAGTCCTGTAAATTTCACAAATTGTGTTGCACCTTCAGCTACGCAGATTGTTAGATTCAAGACATTTGGTAACCACACTCTCTACATAATTGCGTAATTATACACTTGGTCCATTGAGAGACTGGTCATTCTGAAAGTGAAGAACTGCAAGCTGGGTGCTCAGGGGGGCCTCACCATATGGGGCCCGGCCAGCCAGAGGATTTAATAACGGGGTTGGATTGCCGCTTCCTTCCCTTCTACTTCTGTCCGCTAGTGCTGGGAAGTCCGAGAGATCCAGTCCCGTCACGTTTTCGCTTCCGTCTGGAACAACAAGTCAACACACTGTAACCACTTTGCAGACAGCGGCCACTGTAGCAGTACTAACAATATCATCACATCATCCATACAACAGGTCCAAGCAGTAGGCGACCACAGTGCACAAGTGCTTCCTGCAGCCACTATAGATGGAATCTCAAAATAGAAAGCCAAAAAACATATGTAACACTAAGAACTGCATATCTATAACCCACTTCTGAACATGGCGCAATAACTAGAAATCCATCTATTAAAATGTACTTCCTGCGGAGTTAGGCTTCTATGCCAGTATTAGTTTAAGTAATGGCATAGTGACACAGTTATATTGAACTCCTACAGTCAGAAATTCTTGTGGAAAAGCTTTAGCTTGGACTTTTTACATTTGCAGTGCCTAGAAATAGTCTGTGGACTCCCTAGGTTGATCCAAACTCTGGTACATTTTAGACTTTAATTAGATCATCACGAAAGTCTTAAAAAATGAAGATAATTTTCAAATAAAATTATCCATCAGTAAATATACCAGTGTGAATAACCACATGAACACAGACTCAGTATCTGGTGGCACCTCCTTGATCAGCAATGACTTCAACTAAACATTCTATAACTTTAAGAGCCTCTCGCATCGCTTATTGCTTTCCAGACTTTTGGCCCATTCTTTTTTACAGATCCACTTGAAGTCAGTGGACATTTGAGGGTTTCCTTATATCAGCTGCTCAATTCAGGTCCTGCACTAGTCTTTCTTTAGCCATGCTGTTGCAGATCTGTTTGTACACTGAGGATCATGGACTTGCTGCAGTACCCACTTTCACTTCAGCTGATGAATGAATGGCCTGACAACCGTCTCTAGAATTTGAGGATAAAACATGTACAGTATGAAAAAATAGCTTTTACTTTGGATTCTACTGTCCAGAAATTATTGTTCCAGTGGTCTTGTGCATCGCCCAAGTGCTCTTTAGCACATGTTCTGAAGGATTTTCAGGGTTGCTCCTGGGGAGATCTTGACAGCACAGCTGGTCTCTAAGCAGTCACTATGGCTTGAATACTTTCTGTTTGTAAAGGATGGAGCCCTAATTGTTTAGAAATGGACATTTCTCCCCTGTTAGACTGATGAGCTTCAATTACTCTTTTTCAGAGGTTCTGCTGGATCATTTATTGTTTCACGTACACTGATTGTTAACTGTTTAATTCTACTTCTTACACGACTGTGCCTCTAAACACTGAAATGCTAAATATGAAAAAGAAAAGACCCTTCGATTAAACAAGGGTATAATGATAAGAAATTAAAATTTCCATTATTATAGGGAGTTCACATACTTTTCCTTGACACTGTAATCTTGTCTTTGTATTTTTGATGACCAATATATTTCTATTAATCTCATTTTACCCTAAAAAAACTCCATTAACTGGATGCTCAAATCCCATCCTTCTTGGAAAACATTTTTTCCCATCTAAAAATTTCATTCTAACAAACAAGCATTTGCTCCTGGTATTCCTGTTCTTTTCTAGCATTGAGATCAATTAATTAAACAGCTTAATTAAGTTTATAGCTTTGACTGATCTACAGGAAAAACAAAAACCCACAAACAATAACAAACTACAATCGGAAAAACTACTACTGTCAAGGAATTTAATGTTTTGGACTATTAAAACCGAAAAGCACAAAACTGCTTAATTAAAACAGTCTTTGACAACAAAATGGTTGTAATCTCCATACTGGTGACTCATGCCTGGTTGAGAGGGCAGCTCTCAGCAGTGTATATGCCTACAAGACCACCACCTCGAACAAATCCCCCTGCAGCACTAGGGACACTCACCTGTTCCATTGAAAATGTTGCTTGATAACGAGTTGTTCATTCCAAACGCCTGATTCCTGTTCATTCCGAATCCAGACATACTGCAGCAATAGAAACAGACAACAATCAACCACACAATTACGAAAATCGAGTTTTTAATGCACATTCTGCTGCGCTTTGCTTTAATTCAAGTTAGATATTCACTTTAGCTAGAATAACTTGAGATGGCACTCACAGTAAACTGTTTGCTGTGCAGATATAGCATAGAAATTTCCTTTGCTATAATACCGAGAACCATCTGTTTTCCATCTTCTTTGCCTATATAATGGAAATACATATACAAATTGATAAAATCCTTCTGCCTGCTTCAATAATAGTTTCTTTTAGTCCAACTTGACTCAAGACTGCTGGGACTCAGATTGAGCTGGACTCAGCTCAACTGGAAAACACAGATCAGGGACTCCAGAAGTCCAGACTCGGAATCAGCTTAATAGTTATGGGAAAGGCTGACTCGGCAAACTGCGACTCAGCCCAAGCTCTGGAAATCCTGAATGAGCAACTGTCCGTGTTAAAGTAAATTTTAAAGTAAACACCAATAAAGGCGTGAATTTTTTAAAACAACCCACCATGCCACTATGATAACTCTGGAGGTATAACGGAGACAAACAATGTCTTTCAGATATTTTTAGGTTCTACATTAATGGTTATTTAGAGAAATCCATTACTTTGTGTCCCGTTACTGTGTTTTGATACATTTATTTAAAAATACAGAAAAAACAAACCATAGCTCCAGGTGAACAGTTGAAAGCGTTTTTTTAATTAAATTATCATTTAAAAAACGAGCATCAAAGCAGTGGCTGTACTACTGAAGTGCTGTGAATAACTTCCCAGGTGAACACTCCAATATTAAAAAAAAATTGTAAACCAACAATGGGCCTACAACTCAAACAGTCAGAACTGCGCTTCATACACCAGTGAGACAAGCTTAATATCTCACTTTCAAATGAGCTTTTCCCACTGCTCTCCCTGTTGGTTTCAAATGAAAGGATTCGTGAATACAAATCTTTGTGGTGAAGCCTCAAATGGAGTGCACATCTGAATAATATTCATCCTGGTCCTGGATGACCACCTTGTCATCTGTTTTTCACGCCACCTTGCAATCTTAGAAGAAATTAGCTGAATCAATCATTCACTTACTTGGTTTATATTACCTTTTATATTACCTGTCTTTGCAGGTCTTTACTCGTGAAGAATAATACATTTAAATAACACCTATTAATGGTAAAAGGCTGCCAATATGCTTGTTATTTTGTCATATATAATTATTCTATATATTATTCTGGAGAGATGGTAAGATGTGTCGTGCCACATTAAAACTTAAGAAGCAAAGAAAGATACCTGTTAATGGTAAAAGGCTGCCGAGATGGTTGTTGCTTTGGCATACATATTATGCTGGGTGAGCTTCTGTTTGGACTGCCTAACCCTGAACTGCTCATGCTGTTGGTCCTGCCAGGCATGCCAATCCCTTGTCCAACCTGGGAGTGGTTCATCATGTTCCTTGTGTTCAGAGGCAGGATACCCCTGTGGAAAAAGAGAGCGCTGACTTCACAACATGTCTGGCTTTGCCCCCCATTCAACAACCTACAAAACCTTCCCCTCTTCCCGAACTGTGAATAAAACAATTAACAATAGAAAAGGGGCTGAGGGATAAAGTCTGAAGAGATGTCCATAATTATTTCCCTTCCTCCAGCAACAGACTCAGAAAAGCTTTGGAGTACCAACCACCCGTACTGTCTATTCCCTTTACAGACCCTAAATCGAATGATAATAGACAACTAGAAATGAACATTTCATCAATACTACAAATAAAGAAAATCAACAAGCGTTTTCTATACCACCCCACAACAGCATTTGCAGACTGCAAGGGAAGCTGCCACGACTATAAACAATTCATTTAATAAGGCTGAAAAAATAGATTGGCCAATCAAGACTGTAAGAGACAATTATCATTTCTCTAGGTATCAAACCGATGCTCTTTGTAGCTCCAACAGGAGCTTACTTCCAATAAAATGTGTTATGCTGAAAATTACAATTCGCCTTTTTTCTTCTGTGTGGCCTGAGCAACACACTTCATCAAACAACGCATGCTGTCCCACCATGAAACAGCCCAAACTGTTTGTTTACAGTAAAATCAGGATACTTTACTGAAACAAGTAAGCATCACGAACATTATTTTACTCGTTTAAGCAATGCAATCGACCTACACATTAGACCAGTTGTGCCCAAACTTTTGGCCACAGAGACCTAAGAGGAACCTTGGACAAGCTGAACAGCGCAAACATTTTTGTGGACGGTTTTTGAATAAGCACACATTAATTTCATTTTTAGAAGCTGTGAATTGGCTGTTACACTTGAACCTCTTTAAAAGCCAAATAAACTTTTAATAGTAAAAGTCAAATAAGAAAGCATTACTAAACAACCATGGGGCACAATGTGTGATACCACTATCAAGAAAAGTCATCTGTCAAGTGGGGCCTTGGTTTGGATTTGTTCATTTCCTTTACCTAGAATGACCATGACTGATATAAGGCCCACCAAAAACTGCACACACTTGTCTGATGGACCTAATTTAATTTTACTGCACTTCAGGACATTCCATCTGAAGAGAGGGGGGTATTGAATCCACGCTAGCAATAGCTTGAGGTTGAAAAAACCTGGTCTCCAGATTGCCAGATAAGTGTTTGTAATGGAAAACTCAAGTCAAGACATTTTTACCACACGGTCACACTGATGAATGGAACACTTTGAAAGACATTCTGTTCAGTGTTGGGTGTTGTTCAGTGTCTCAGAAATTGATATCCGAGAATAAGTGAAAGGCAGGCCTTTCTTTATCTTGATGAGGTCTTTCAATTGGTTTGATAAGACTGTCAGAACTGCAAAATATCACAGCCATGCCTAGTCTGCGAGTTCAGGAACATTTTCAAACTTTTCTGGTATGGAAATTCAACTAATTTCATTCTGCGAGACAAAAAAGTACTTGGGCACATTTTAGTGATTTCGCATTTCACTGCGGTAAAGTGCATTCTCGTATTTTGAATCATGTTCCCCTGTGAAAGGCCTGAAATGTGCAGTGATTCAAGCTGTGTGTCAAGTGTATTTACTGTGCTAAACACGACTCGCATGACATTATGCAAATCTGAACTTGCCACACAGTGCTTGCTGGTTAATGCAATACAACGCCATTGGCCTTTTAGCATTACACTAATCAGCCTGCTCACACAGCTGACTGATGTAGCAGCAAGGCTATGATTATTGTGCTTAGAATTAAGTGTTGAGAAAAGGTATAATGATGTTCCTCTTAATTTAAATGGACAATCACACTGACACTCTTTTGAGTCTGTTTTTTAGGAATTAGACTAATCACGACACCTCCAGTGCTACGACGGGACCAGAGAGATCCATTAACGAGCACTATACCACATGGGGATGAATATAACACCTGATGACATATTCACCTGATGTCCACTGAAAGTCCTGGAATAGCAGCTACAAAAAACAGATAAACAGACCACGTTTCTCCCTTTTTTGTTGTGATTAGATCCACCTATTTCCTCTCCCCCTGGGACTTTTAAAATTCTCAGTCTAAATGCACCTGACTAAGCGTTGTCCTTTGAATGAGTATTCATTCAATGTTCACGATATAACACTCGAGAATTAAGTTATTGTTCAAAACAAGTGTTTCATAAAACTGAACCCAAGGAAGTAATCAAACACTTACTTGTCTGTCAAGCGGATTAATGTTTAAGAAATTATAGGAGACCTTAGATAAAATCCAAGGATGGCCAAATAATGAGAGTTTTAGTGTATATTGCCTTGTGTTTACCGTCTTCCATAATTCAAGTGGGTGAACAGCCATTTGCAATAGAACGGAATGATTTACACATACTTACACAGTCTTGAACTGGTATTTTTTGTACATTGCTATATCACGAAAATTGTATTTTTGGAATCCATGTTTATATGATGATGTCAAGTTAAGGTCATTAATTGGTCTCAACAAGTCTCGAAAATAATTGTTCACCTCAGTAATTTCAGTACCAGAACCTCAGTAATTTCAAATACCTTGCCTATCCCACATACAAGTATCAGCATCTCAACACTATCAAATATGTTTCTGCTTTCATCCAAAGGAAATGAACGATCGATCCTCAAAGATGATGGCTTTTCTTACAAAACTGGAATTTTACATCTTCACCGATATCTTTAATTCTTTAAATGATCCAGCCGCTGAGATGTGCTTACTGACCCCATTAGGTTTTTCTTCTGAGGACACATTTTCTCCATTACGACATGCATGCGCTTTTCTGAAACCCCACCACCATTCGCCTTCCAGTCTGTCCCAAGTGAGCTGGCTTTTACTGCATTTCCTTCCCGTCTTCTGCTGTGAACGCTTGACTTCTTTTTCTGAGACGTGAGCCTTAGCAACTCCTGTTTCATCACATATTTTCCTGCGTCTCTTGTTGCAGCATCGCCCTGATATATTCTTTACTAACTGCAACTGGTGGCGTCTTCGCAATGAGAAATAATGACTTAAGTTGAAGGGGCACAAAAAACTGTTCATTTTTGGGGGGGTTTTGTTGAAGGCATTCTGGCAAAGTGTTAAAACTCCACATAGTACAGTAATGCAGTTTAATGACAGAATTGTGATCTGCTGACAATGTTCAAAATAACACTCCATATTTTTTTTTGATATCTGCTACTTTTTAAATGTTGAAACTAAAGAAGATATTCAAGTTTCAGTACAGACATTACAGGTGTTTGAGTAGATAATGAGATATTAGGATCATTTGTGCATGGAATATCTAAAAACTATTCACATATACAACACTGTTTCACCATATATGTTGCTTTTGTGCTGTGTGTGCGCTCTTGACATACACGGTCATGACATTAAGGTGCAAGACAAAACAATTTAAAAATGATCACTTATTCACATAAATAGCTTCTTGATTGATCTAACAACAGTTAATACCCCCATCACTGCTTGAATGAAAGTGACACTCTTAACAGAATGAAAACTTCTTGTCAACCTGTTATTTGAGGACAAAGTAAAAGGCTTTTATTATGCATAAAAGAGGATGGCAAGTAAGGATCCTGAAACCTGACAATGCTACATGCAGAGGCACTCAAAAGCTCACAAAACCAGGAACCCCAACACAAATCTAGGTATGTTTCAATCATTATCTACAGCTTCATTCAAACACTGTCTATATTTTACTCTGTGCACAGGGAAAGCTACACCTTTTGAAAAGGAAACGTGCAATGCTCCATCCCGATATACCCTGAAGTGATGAGAAAAAAGCCCACAGGCCTACCTGCTTGGTGAGGGTGGAGTATGGAGAGACATTGTCGGTACGCCTGTCGTAGGTGTTACATGGCTCGGTAACTGGGTACCTTGTGATAAGCTGCGATTTATCTGAGGGTTATTGTTGTTCATTCCCCTCATTGGAAAGCCTAGTGCACCTGAGACAGGGTGAGAAAAAAAATGTATTAGCACCGGCCGCTTCCGCCACCTGGGGAAGGACACCAATCTGATGTGAAATCAGGATTTTTTCAAGGGTTACAGACAAACAGCATCACCTGCCAAGAACAAAAGCTGCTCAGACTGGCTGTAACTTGTGTGGAGCCGATTAAAGCCCATTTCTAGTGCCACTGCAATTAACAAAGACAAAAGCGTCGCAAAAGTAATGGAAAATGAATAGCTTTGTAAATAGAACACAAAAGATAAACATAAGGACTTCAAGGAACTTGCTTTGGCATAATATACTCATGAGTGTTTTCATTAGGTTGCATTTTATATCTGTTATCTATTATACTGCTTGACAGTGAAATACTTCAGGTGGGTGAAACCTACGTTCTTCCGGACCTACGTGAGGAATACCACTTTCCAAACTAACAATGTTTCGTTAAAATTGACTCAACATTCAAAACTGGACTGCTATAACTATACAGACAGTAGCAAATACACATACATCCATATAAATGGAGCCTTGAGAAAAATCACTGACAACAAACTCAAAGCATTTCAATTAGGTAGCTGAGTCAGCTGCAAAGGAACAACGGGTAAAGGTTTATTTAAAGGAAAAGGAAAAGAAGAGAGATGCACCCCTTCTTCATACCTGTAGCCCGGAATAAACCTTTACCTGTTCCTTTGTGTATTCAAGCTCAAAGTACTGCTGGCTTGAGGCTCGTCAAGCTCTTGTCCCTGACATGTATGATTTTAATTTTAAAAGTAGTTATAACTCACACTTGAACAGATAAACATTTCCCTCTTGGCTACAATGGCCTTCATTACAGCATGTGTCCAACTTGCCTCTTCTTGTGGTACAATTCAGAGAAGCAACTAATAGCACCCACTAGCCAAATTAATTCCTCACTAGGGACAATAATATAAGCCAGGGAGCATAGCTCCTGCAATCAAACTTCAACAAGAAGCCAAGAGCAGTGTTGTATACCTTGATGAAGTAGCACGGTGCAACATGTTCATCATGCAACAGTGGGCCCCAACTCTATGGCAGGTATCTATGGCAACAGCCCACACATATGCCTACATCTCCCTAAAATTAAAGCCGTAAGTTTTAAAAAGAGCCAAGATGGGTCCGTGCAGATTGAGTGTTCATTCCAATTTCAGCTGAGCCTTTTAAAAAAAAATCTTTTCCGCTTCTTTAACATCACCTTAGTATTAAAGGTCTGGTGGGGGGAAATGGCACCTGCCTACATAAATCCCATTCCTCCCACCACACCAGAAAGTGGCAATGATAATAAACTAATCTGTGAAAGCTACAGAAAATGTGTGCGTGAACCAAGAGTGCAACGCATGAAAATTATTATTACTGTAAAATAGTCAGTAAAGGCATGTCTACCACTGTTAATGGCATTTAACGAACACAAGAATTGGGATATAGCCGAGGTGAGAAGTCCAATTTCGTCAGACTATAAGCTCATTTTCAGACAGGGAGACACCAAGAGACAGTACTTACTTTGTGGCCCATATAAGCTTGCACCAAGCTGAGACAATTGACCTGACGTTGAGGGTGATGGGGATGCCAGCATCTATATGGAAGAAGCGAAACAAAGTTTGGGTGATATATTCCAGTCAGAGAAATTTAAAAGTGAAAGGAGGACACACTTGGAAGAGAGAATATTTTCTGACAGCACCAATAAATAAACAAAAAAAAAACATTTGTCCAACTATATGAAACTATGTTCTTTATCCAAAAACAGAAATGCTTAATTACATCTGTTTGTAAACTACTGAGATTTTAAAATAGTTCCACACGTTAAACATTAAAAAAAAGCATGTGTATTTGTTTATGTTAGGAGTTTTGGAGTTGGGTTTTAAAAGTGTGTAGAGATTTAAATGCAGAGCAAGACACAACTGCAAATCACCAGTTCTAAACATTGAAAGGAACACAATAAGCTTATCCTCTTTCAAATAATAACATTTGAGACTTGAATTTGTCAAAATGCGCAGCAGTGCAGAGTATGAAAAATCCTGAGTGAGCCTTCTAAAAAAAGGAGCTCTTCCTCAGCCAAACAAAGAAAAAAATCAAAACACGAGAACACAAAAAATGTATAAAAGCTTAACAAAGAGGAACCAATGGTGCTCTTTACAGTGAAGTCTTGAGTTAAACCATGCAATTTACACTAACTAGTGCTGATTTAAATTGAAAATATTGGTGATTTATAATTAGAATTAAATTCTGATTAGATCTTTGAAATTAGAAATGAGAATATAATCAAGTAGACAGCAATGATTTTATAACACAAATGGACTGCCGGTGATGTCTAGAACTCAAATGTGGCATTTCATTTATCACCAGCACTCATAAAACATTCTAAACAGACCAGCCTAATTAGAGTTAAGCACGAAGACTACAATGCCTGTAAAACACTAAAAATGTCCTTTCAGAGTAGAACAGAGTTGAAGGTGTTTCAGACAGGACAGTGTTTTAAACTATCAAACCTTCAATGCACGTTCTACAACATCACTAAACTTGCCCACTGCGGTGACGTCACAGCACTCTAGCCACAAGAAGACCATACTTCTTCAAACACAAGACTCGGAAGCAGCAGCAGAAATGAAAGAGATAAACCAATGTCAAGTAAAAGAGCCCAACGACAAAATTGCAGACAATCAATTATATCACCCATGATGCAGGATACAACTCCAGTCCTGAAGACTCAGAAGGCTTTTGGTTTCCTTCCACCAGAACTCTTTATTAGCTATTTGAATATACTTCTTGAGAAGTTGGAGATTTAAGGACAGCAATGCTTGAGGACAAGAGTTGGCCTCCCCTCCTCAAGAGAAGAGCTTCTCACTGCTGGAGTACTCCAGTGTTTTTCTTTCCAGCTGGGCCTTTAAAACACCAGTGCTGATTGCTGCCAGAGTCTGACCTGCTTGCTTGTTTAGGCTTCTTTTCTGCCCTGAGGCCTTTGTTTCAAACACCGCCAAGAACACTGACTCCCATCTCTTTTAGGTTTTGCTCCAGGCACCTCTTTAATCACAGGCAAACTTAATTTTTCTTTCAGCTCTTAAAAAGCTGAATGTGATTTGTAATTGTTATGGGCCCTGTGCTGTATACTGAGTTTCTGGATTCATTCAGGTGTGCAGACTGAAATACAACCAATAGGTCATAAACAGAAGGACAAACACTGATCAATGGGAGAGTGTCTGATACTGTGCCACTCTCACCTCTGTCTGTTCATCATCAATCAATCGCCTGTTAAGACAGAAATAAGTGAGCAATGTCTTCATTACCAAGTTGAAGAGCGACAAACGTTGTGTGTGATGTTGCTGGAAATAATCTGCTTTAACTAGAGTGGTTTTGACAACAAAACAAGGCCTGAGTGCAGAAAAGTGCAGAAAAAACAGATAAATTACAGGCAGCAATTGTCACTGGTGATTAAGGGTCCATTTGGAACAAAACCCAGCAGACAGGAAGACTTCAGAACCAGCAGTGAGAACCACTGCTTAAGTATCACATAAAAAAACAACTTTCTTAATGGAGCTGTGTCTTGTCTATTCTCCCTACTACCGAGAAAAATCTCCTAAATATAATTTTAAAGGTTTCTGAATTTAAAGGAAAAGGCTTTCAGAAAGATAATTATGGGAGGTGTGAATACACTGTATTCACAGAATATTCTCAGTTTTGGATACATGCGAGTTCCATGTTTCATTCAAATGCAGCGTAAGGATATCAGGCTTCTGGGCGATACTCCAGGTTTCTAGAGCAAAGAAAATGAGCAATGTTTTTCATTTACTTTGTTGAAAAAAATATTGCAAAATTAAACTGAAGTATGAAATTTAAAAATATTGGTCAAACAAATACTATCCAAGTTCCTTCAACAGTATGTTATGTACAAGGATTATGGTACATTTACAACAATGTTAACTTCAGAACACTTTTCAAAAACTTTTTTCTGATATTAAATTGGGTATGTGAGTTTCCTTTAAAATCAGTAACACTGCGCAACTGCCTTTTAAATTTAATGTGTATTTAAAACCTTCATACAAGCAAATACCATGTACCTTTAACTCCACTGAACTAGTTTTAAATCTATAACCATCCACAATATTCAGAATGTAGTATCAAAAACACAAAAATCATACCAGAATCATACCAGTTACATTTAAAGGAGAAAATATATCTTGCACACTTGTGTCCACTTTATTGATGGTCAACAGGCTGCTGGCCTAAAAAACGAACAAGATTGTTTATATGAAGGTTTGGCACAAGAGAGCTACAAGGCTGTGCTATATATTGTACAGCCCAGCTTTGCCTCAGCACTTTCCTGTTGTAATTTTGTACGTCGGTGAGATTTTGCTTTGAGCCTGGCTTTCTGTGCCATGCTGTAGGCACTTCTGCTGCAACACAATACATAAGGGAAGAAAGAATGTCTTTGGGCTCTGAAACCTTATCTTCCTAGAGCACAGTGGTGTCTGTTGTGAGAGGAGACCACAGACTGTTACCGTGGAGTTTTTAGCAGTGGCAAGTCAACAAGGAAACAAATCTGCTTTCAATTGGCTTTTATCACTTTAATTTTCACAGAAAGAGAGAGGGAGCCATTCTGGAATATGAGAAACATATGGACTATGAGACTCACGTTATGTTTTAGAATCAAACAATCTTTCTACTAGAATTTTTGCAAAAATGATACGGTATACTACTACTACAAAATATATATCAAATTAACATACACTACAGCTCCCTGAAGTTTTAATATTGAACCCTAGTGCATGAATGATGGAGATCTACAAATAGCAAAGTAATCGTGGTAAAACCGGACTACAACTATGAAGCAGTCACATACAGTGTATAAGGAATGCACTAACACGGATGAATCACAGATAAGTGTTAGCCACGCTACACTTCACAGTTAATCACCTTATCACACTTACAGGGTGATTTTGCGCGTCAGTTCAGACGGTGTTCTCTCTTCAGTTAGCACTGCCTCTGAAGTAATGTGATGAACAAACACAGCACAGCCTACCAAAACGCTACAGTCAAAACATTAAGAGCAAGGGTGCAAGCTGGTTCAGTTCCTGTAAGACTTCACATTATCTTGCCTTCCAAAAAGCAAAGCCTTTCTGGAAGTAAAACGACTAAAATCAGACATGCACCTATTATCAGAACAGTCTAAGCCATTCATTGCGTTGACATCCCTGAGGTCTACCTCAGAGGCAGGAAAGCCACCTGAAATGACCTTCACTGGATTGAAAGCACGACTTTTCATTTAATGAAAACTGAATTGTAAAAATATGATGTTCTGTTGAAACCTGAGCAGTATACAATTTGCTTCTGAAAGTTTTGTCTTAATAACAAAATAATTATATTTATCATTCAGTAGTTTAAAGATAACCTTTGTGTGAACTGCATGAATCCTTCTGCACTCCAGGCACTAGTGCATTTACCAGAGAAACTGGTAAAAAAAAACATAGGAATTTTATTTTGCTCCCTGGTGGCATGTCAGTGATCTCTTTCGCAGTATCAGATAATTACAAATTGCTTAGGTTCAAAAAGGGACAATATTTAACAGGAACCCAGAATCTGAAAGATGATTTGTACGGTATTAGCTGGTTAAAATTGCTGTGCAGTATCCACATTGTGTTCCCTCTCCACTGTTTCACGTGTAAATCTACTTGTTTACATATAAAAAAGTGCATTTGAGATTCTAGACTGCTTCAAAGAACTACTATTTAGTTATAGAATGGGGGAGAAAGATTAAGCTGATTGGAAGTGTCTTTCGCTCACCTTGCACAATGACATTTTCACTTCAGATGTGTCTGCTTCAACTCTATGTTGCATTTAACAAGCCTACAAATTTAATTTGTTGTATCTTGAGTGACTGCTTACTTGCCTGTCACAGAAAATGGGTTTTAAAGCAGAATTCTGTCTCATCCACTCTCTCCTGCTATTTCACTTCTTAGCTGTCTCAAATCTTATGCTTTCTGAGGGATGCACTGCTGCGTCTTCTCCTAAGATTATGATTTGCCATGATGATCACAGTACTGAAATGTGCTTCTAAGATACTAATGGCCAAAAAGTGTAACCGGAAAGCTAAAAAAAGCAAAAACAGATAACTAAGAAAATGAGAGAGGAAGTGAAATGAGGAATGCACTTGGGCCTATTGCCACTAATGTTTGTATGGATCTCCAATGGACTTTAAGCTGGACTGACAATTCTCCTCCACACCTCTGGGCAATCACCTTGGAAGCAATCAGAGATATGGTTTAACAATTTAATTTGAAAAAATGGAATAAAAATGAAATTTTACTATAGCAAACTAGAAATATTGAAAAACAAATTATTAGGTGAATAGTTATATACAACAGTAAAATAGTACGCAATCATTAAATAGGTATACGTAAAATGTCTGTAATATGAAAGAAAATAATTCAATTTCCATTATGTATGAATGTTGTTGCTGTTTCAAAATGGCCAATTAATTCTAATCATGGCCAGTATCATTCCCATGGGCATATATGGTATAGAAAAGTCATACAGAGATTGTTCCGAATATTTACAGGATGTCTAGAATGGTCAACAATTTTTCAATACACAATGTGATTTCAATTTAAGTAACAAATTTTAGTTAAATCAGCCAAATGCGTGCCTTGACAGATTGTATCATCTGAAGTTATCAATAAAGACCTAATGCCTAAGGCTTAGCAACAGGAAATAATTATTTTGGTCAAAACCAAACTTTCACACTAGTAGCTACACCATAACAAGTTACAATTTAGGCAGCACACCTAAAGTGTGACAGTTCTGAAAGTCAGAAACAAGCACAGGAGTGATCCCAATTGCATGATCCCACTGGATCTTTCAAGAGCTGAAAGAAAATTCACAAGTATGCCCCAAACAGAAAACTGCAATCAACAAGCCTGTAATCAAGAACTCAACTGGAGTAAAGACCAGAAGACAAAGTGGTCCCCCAGGACCAGAGTTAGGAACCACACACCAGCAGTTCAAGACTAGGCCATGCCATCAATCCACAGTGAGCAGGACACCCCAAGTACCAGCTGGGCTGGGAAGGCTGGAGTTATCTTAGATATACAAACTTAGAATAACACACTGCTGGAACTTGTCAGCGATCTGTAAACTTGCAATATCAACAGCAAGAGAATCAGTTCTCTTTCTGTGCTAGCTAATTTTCCTATAATGGACCGCGTCACGCACAAGTCAAAAGGTTTGACACTTGAGAACATGCACACTTCTGCTGGCACGGGAGCTGTACTGCTTTGCCAAAATGATTAATAACTGGAGAATCCAAAATGGTAGGCTGCAAAACAGAAGAATCACTGGCGATCGCAAGTGAAAGCGTCTTGCACAGCGCTCGCGTGCAGAGAGAGATGGTAAGACGACAAACAGAGGTGCTTCAAACGCCCCTCCCAGAAAGGAAGCAGGCCAAACTAGCTGATAAGCCATTAAAGGTGAAAGCAAGTAAAAAGGAATAAAACAGCTTTTTATTATAAAAAGATTGCTTTAACTTTCAAAGTATGAATCACACAGTTTGAGGAATTTTATATTATGAATTAAATATTAAAAGGATTTCACTTTTGCAGCCAAACCTCTGCCACACTTCAAAAGCTGGCTTCAAAACATTTTAGTGAGAAGAAGCCTTAGCCTAGAGCCTTATGATTACAAACTCTAAAGAAAACAGTGATAAAACAAAAGTAACCTCTTAAAACAAGTGTTTTTCTTTATTTTTAAACCTAAGAGTTTCAGTAAGTAGCAATAGCAATAGCTACTGCAAATTGGGGTCCTTGCTGCCTCAACTGCCATTGTGCTACTCTGAACACAGACACAGTGAGACTGAGGCAATCGGCCTTTTGATTTAATTTATGAAGTTATGACTTTGTTACTGGGCAGCAAGGTAGTGCGGCGGCTAGCACTGCTGCCTTACAGTACTGGGGATGGGACTTCAGCTCCTGGGGTGCAGTCTGTGAGGAGTTTGTATGTTTGTATGCACGTTCATGTGGATTTCCACCTACAGTCCAAAGACGTACTAGTACATTAACTGGCTTCTGAGGAAACTGGCCCTGGTGTGAGTGTGTGCGTGTTTGTGTCTGCCTGCCCTGCCATGGATTGACATTCTGTCCAGGGTGTACCCCTCCTTCTGCCATTGCTTGGTGGGATGGTCTCCAGCTCCCCGGAGATCCTGTATTGGATGAAGCAGTTAAGAAAACGGATGGATGTTCTTTATTTAATCGATATGCAGCTAAAGATTTTTTATGTGTACAATGCAATGCACAATGCAATTTTACCAACAATACAATTTATGAAAGAATTTAAGAAGAGGTTCAATCGTGCACAATACAGTCACTTCTTTATCCCTGAATTTTTAGAAACTTTTATTTTTAATGTTTTGAGTCTCTTAAAACAAAATGTAATAACATATTGCTTAAAGACGAGGTTGCCGGAAAGAGATCGCGTTCAGCCAATCTTTTCTCGCCATCACACACATAGGACATTAGTAAAGACAACTTTCTAATTTGTCACTTTTAAAGTCCAAACTCTGAGACCTGTGACTTGTCTGATTTAATCAAGTGGTCCTGCCAAGGAAGGATGTTGCTCTGAGATCCAATGACAACAACTGCAGTTAAACTGCATTTAACAGGCAAGGAGCAGTAACAAAAAGAAACACCTCGATACCACTTCAGTGAAAGACCAGAAAAATTTGCTAAAAGACCCAGGGGAGCATAGTGTATACTCATCTTGATAAGAGACAAGCTCATTATCTAAAACATGAAGTACAACTGGACTTGAAAAGCAACTTAATGTAATTACAACTGGAAAACTAGCTGTTCCGCTTTCTTCACAGGAGTGAAAAGGGTTCACAAATTCAGCAGCCTGTTGTTCAGGTTGTTGTTCATTGCCTCATAAAATTACCAGTAAAACTGCACCTCACTGTGTTGGAAATTGATTTTTCTAAATCAACCAACATTATTCACAAGTTTTTTTCAAGACCATGTCAAATTGGCTAATATGTTTTATATTCCATATATGGAAAGAAAGGTCATCTATAGCATTTTGAATTTTCATCAGTGCCTGACATGAAAGTACTATGCATGTCTATTCAGATTGAGACAACCTGAGGAGCAAAATCTAATTCAGTCAGTAGGGATTACTTATAAATTCTACTTATGATTACTAACAAATTCTACTTATGAATTTGTATATGTGACAGTGCTTAATTGACACAATATAGCATATAAAAATACATCAATGTATGTAATAGTAAAGTGTAGTGCAGTAAGAATTACTTCTAATGTGCATTTTCCTTATACTGTAAGGCTGTCATGCTAAATTGAGTGATTCTGAATAGTTACTATAATTTCACTCGGGACCTAATGATTACCTAAAAACTAGAGACCCAGGAAATTGATGGTCACCTGTACGGTAAGACTATGTTGAGGAGCTGACTACTTGCTTGTTTGATCAGGGGCATTGCAGATTACAGGAGCCACAATAAAAAAGCTTTTGACTCCTTCCAGGCCGTGCAATTCATGAGGAGATGCCTAAAAGGCTCACTTACGTCTTTTTCTGATCGATGTGGGAACATCGACGGCTGGCTGTAGTAGAGGCTTTCATCAGGGTAGTCACTTTCGACCCCCTCTACAAACTTCTTTCTTGTAGCACTAAACATGCTGTTTGTCACCTGTAGTAAGAGAAAGAGAAAGAGGTTTTAATCCACTGACAGCGGGGACCGCTACTGTCAGAAGACAGGTCTGGTCAACAGTGGGCAACTGGAGAAACCAGTCTTCTGTGATCTGATCGAGCACGGCAGCTGACTGGCCCGAATGCTGAAACAAAGCAGTAGTCACAGTGGCACTGCCAAGGAAAACTCTGGTGATAATGCTGGTTTGCCTGGTAAACAACACCTTCACTCTGATGTTGAAAATACACCTTTTCGCCTTCAATAATCAATAATAATCAAATTAAAAAGCTGATTCCTGAAAAAAATCATTACTTTAGCACGTGATTAATAGACAATCGACAAAAAAAAGGAAAAATAACAATTTTTTGAAGCCACTAACTCAAAACTAACTCCAGTACCACAAATCCTGCACACAGACAGCCTTTGCTAAAATAACATTAATACATCGTATTTATTAAGCCAAAATGTATCGTCTTGGCTGCTCCAGAAAGTCTTAACCCTGACAGCAGGATATGTACTACAGAGGGGAAAGCCTTTCGATTCCACCAATATAACTGTTTTTGAGTTCTGACTTATATTGGTTCAGTATCGAGTGGTGAAAAAAACAATTTTTTGAAATTCTGATGAAGAGAGTCTACTTGCGCTAAAGATGGCACTTCAATTCAGCTGCTTCTGTGCCAGCTCTGCAGAAAGGGAGGCACGGCCTGACAGGACTCGGAGAAGATAGTGCTTGTGTCTCTCCAGTCTTCCAAGGTTAAGTGTGGGAGTGCAAAGGTGTGAGTTAGATACCAAGTGGCAATGGCGAAGTGGGATATAAAAAGAAATTAAATAAAAGGCTTTGTGAATCTTGTTCCCCAGGGAAAACTGTGATTCTAGAAGAAGGCGATTCAATTTGAAGGCTATGAAAAACAAACCTACTGTACTCTATTAATACATGCGGTACAAACTCATGCTGTAACAGTCTAAAATAAAGGAGTATGCAAGTTACTTGTGAACAGAAAGGAAGTGCAGGATTTCTTCTGGGGCTTTGCTTAGAAACTGCTTAACCTTATAGTTTGAAAAGTTTGCTCCAGAAGCGTATTTAAGCATAGGTTCAATGACTGGCTGTCTTGCGGTGACTCTAATTAACTTGCAGTGCAGCAGAGCAGAGAAAGCTGTCTCACAGACAGGTGAACAGAAGCAGTTAGCCACGCAGAGCAGCTTTCTATGCAAATATTCTCCACAACACACATTCTTCTAGGTCCACTTAGGAAGCACTAAAGTGTACTAGAGGAACAAACAGATCCCACTTTTTAAATCTTTAGCATGCCAATATTAGGAGGGGCACAGCTTTGTTGGATAAGAGCTATGTCCTAAAATGATATACCCACACAAGACCTCTCTGTGCTGTCTCAAGAGACGCATCTTAAAAATGTTAACAAGTACTGGGCTTTGGTTCCAGTCTCTGTCACTGCTCTTTGAGATCTCAGTCTTTAAAAAATATCCAACAGAAATGTCGTTTTGTGGGGAGTTGTGCAAGCATGCACTGGCTGCAAATGAACAAGTAATGGTTAAATCCATACTGAAAACCAGAAAAACAATCAGATGCGTCACACCTGAAGAAGGTCGTGTTTACCCTTTACCTTCTTCAGCATGGAATTAACTTTTACTGTCTTTCTGGTTTCTATTCTTAAAAGAGCCACATAAGGGAACTGAGGAAAGCTTTAAGTAGTATAAACTGGTATAAAACAGAAGAGACAACAGAAAATTCAATTTTTGATTAAAGGCGTTTACATACCACCTAAAAATGATAACAGGCACAAACCAATGAAGTGTATTACTCTCTACATTTAACAACACAACGACCAAATGTCAGCTACAATAGCTCATCACCGACATCAGTGGTTAGCATCCCCTCCGATTCCTTGTCCTTTTAAGATGAAATGTCCAGCCTAGGTCCTCAAAATTGTTTCTCTGCAAGATTTATATGTCTCTTTAAAATATCCCCACCTAAAGAGCTGGAAGTTGTTAAACATGTCTAAATTAGCCAATGATGAGGTGACTGGGATAGTTAAGAGGGAAAGGGAAATGAAAACCTACAGGGGCTTTCTGACTCTATGGCTCTGCATGTGATTAACAGGGACAAATATTCTTCCAGTTCCAGTTCTCTGATTGGACTAGAGGACTGAAGAGTTGTTCCATGTGAAAAGAGGACTCGAGATCTTTTAGAGAGTAATCTCTACAAGGGACAGGTTTTAAAAATTAAGCAGGCATCTCAAAAAGGGGACCATCAATACATCTTAGCAAGCCGACAGTGACAGATCACCAAAACACAGAGTCCTAAACTGAATGATATACTAGGTCAGGGCTACAGTTTGTGGCTCTGGGGTAGGCATTCATCAGAGCCATGTTATGGTTAGTTAAGTATTACATGCACAATTATTTTAGGGCAATAATTCTATCAGATATTTTCTAATCCTTAGAATTCATAATCAATTAATAATGTAACCTTTGCATCATTATTGACTGAGACTATTCATCTATATTTTTGTGCAAGGCTTATCAAGTGGTATTCTACCTAATGTATAAGAAAAGGAACAGTGCTACATCTTCATCTGTTTTGTACAGTGACGCATGTTAAGTTCCTAAATGAATAAATTCCAGGTTATTTTAACAACACAATAGAACATTTGGTAAAATACCTGCTGAAATGATACTTGTTCATATTACCAGTAGATAATGAGAATATTGAAATTGTTCCTTTAAAAACTGTTTAACAAACAAGTCTTCCGAAAAAATTAAATTCATGAGCTTTGTTTTGTATAAATGTATAGTTCAGGAGGCCATACTTTTTAACTAAAATCCATATGAACAGCCTGCATGTGACTGAAAACCTTAATGAAAAGTGTAATTGGTGTATAACGGTAATATCAGCTTTTATAAAATCTATGAACAATAATAAATTAGAGAGCTTGGGAGGATAATGGCAGCCCCTGCATGTGCATTACGTTCTAGGAAAACAGGTAACTCACAAGGCAAAGTTGTGCATTATCTAAAACCCAGGAGAGGGCTTTGACTGAAGCAGCTTTAATGGCTACAGGACATCATCTGAAATTTGATCAGCAATACTTTTTGTTCAGTGGCAGAACTTCTAAAAGCTTCTCTAGCATTACAATAATAAAGGCTTCATTCCTACAGGTTGCCTTCCGCTCTTCTATGTCATCTATGGGATGACCTTGAAGACAGGCGTGGAACAATGCAAGGAGCCCAGTGGTCTGTGGACAGGCCTTCTCAATTACTGGGGTGAATCGCTTTAGGGAGCTTAGGCCTCCAAGCGCTCAGATGTCATCTGAATCAATACGCTCTCTGCCCGATGACAGGGAAACCAGGTCAGAGAGAAACAGGAGTCCACATAGACTTCTCAAACATCCCTCTCAAGGTCTGTCAGCCACACCCAACATATAAACCTGGTTGCAATTTGTGGTGCGCTTCTTTTCCCTAAAACCAAATGCTTTTCAACTGATCAGATTTAGTAGCCCCAGAAGCCTGTGCACTGTACCTGAAGAAATAATAGGAGATGTCTGTTCATGTTGGTGAAAGTGATTTCTTCCCCAGTATTCAGACTCTTTTACATTGATGACAATGGACTAAGATGTCAAACATGCCAGAAAACAAACATGCTTCAGCTTTAGAAAAGGTTTTCAAAGAAACAAAAAACACATTACACAAACATCAGACTAGCTATGTAGTGTTTAGGAATTACTTAATAATAATTTAATTTTAATTAATGTAATGATCCAGCCATCCGGACGTGGAGATAGACCACAGCACATTAAATTCCACCTAAAGCTGTCTCCAATAATGGTGCAACTGTCTTAACCACAAACTGAACCATCTTACAAATGCTCAACATCTCACAAAGAGAACTGAACCCGAATACACCTAGAACACCAGTTCTCGCAGATCCAAGAATCGCCAAAAAAACACCAATACAAGCCATACCAAAATATACTCCAGAAAGGGCAATGCTAGAGACAATTGGCTTTCCTCTCTTCCTCTCATTCGTTCATGTTGGGAGCTTCTTGCTTCCCCTCCCTTGTATTAACAACAGTTCTACCAGAAAATTGATTTGCAACACAGAACGGATACCGTGCAACAAATGGATGGTACTGGGAGAGGCCCTCACACAGAACAGGAAACCGACACCACAGACCGGAGCTCGTTTATTTGACACCGGGTTTTTACATGAGCCTTTACAGATCTTTGTGATATTAAAGCTAGTATATTTACTGCAATTAAATGACTAACATTGTTCGATATAAACTTCCACAAGATGATTTGGGATCTCAGCTGAAACCTGCAGGCTCTAGCTTAAGCCCACTGAGTGTTTTTTATATTTACAACATCATTTCTACAAACCTGTACACAACCGCCAGAGAGCAATTCAAAAGCCACTTGACTGACAGAGTCTAAACTAATCGATTCAGTTGTCTGGCAGCTACAAGTCTCTAGAAGTGACCCACTGCAATTCTGACTGGATAGACTGTAAGGATGCAGTGTGCCCATAAATGAACAGCCACAGAGCAGAAGTGGATTTTCACCTGCTGCTCCTCAGTCTTGATCATTTAAAGTCAAAAAACACCCATATAAGCAGAGAGCAGTGTCCGATGTTCAAACGCAATGTCAAAAGTCAGAAATAAACTTGATGGAATGACCAGGTACTGTATACTGTTTTTACATTTCCTGCTTTGATTTTTGAAAAATACATTTCTGCCTTGGGGTAGGCAAGTACAATACCAACATTTTCTATGCCTGATAAAATCTTGTTAGATTTATAAACAGGAAATGAATGCATTAGAAAATCCATTAATTTCATTATTAGAGCAATTCTGGTTCACCCAAAAGGATTTTGGTATAGAATGTTATCCCTTCTCTGTAGAAATTAGAACTTTTATAGATTTTACTGTTATTAGTTTCATATCTCATAAAAAGAAGAGCGAAACGAAGGAATAATGTTTTTG